CATGTGGTGTAACCCTTGGCAACATTTGTTAGCTACAAGGTATAATACTTCCTCATTAAATATCTCAGCTTCCTTATAATAGACTTTGAATTATACGGAGTTGCAACAAACCCTGTTATCAGATATTTCAATTTAAGCTTGATTTGTAGAAATATAAGTGTTCGTCTTTAAAAGGAAGGACAACTTTGGTCAAATCTTCATCAGCAAATTTACCTATCTACCATATGTCATTATTGAACATTAGCTTATTAAATATTGATGATAAACTTTCTTTAGGACTCTGTCAATGAAAAAAGAATCATCACATAAGTTGGGAGAGATTTTGTACTTTAAAGAGAGATGGGGGTTAGGGTATCGGAAAATTTAAAGTTGTAAGTAAAGATTTACTATTAAAATAGTATTGGAGATCACGAAAAGACCATCTATAGAGACAAGTTTAGGAGGAAAAATATGGTTTGGATCAACATTCCCTACTTCTGAGAAGAGGTAGAGTTTGAATTCATCAGGCCCATATCAAGAAAGGCTGACAAGAATATTCGGTGGACAGTTAGCAACGGATAAAGTTTCCTTTTGGCTTCGTAAGTAGTTGGGCGATAAACTGTTGAGTGTATGCTATCCTAATCTCTTTGTTAGAGTCTCACATCCTTCGACACAGATAAGTACAGTAGGTGTACATGGGACATCTAATTGGTTTTGGAATCTAGAATGTTTGTATAGCAAGATGCATGACAATGTGATTACACAACTTACATGTTTATTGAAGGGCTTAGAAGATGTATACCTCTGAGAATTTTTGTGAGACAGATTGTGATGGTATATTTACTGTTAAATCAGCATATCAGGTGGAGTCAATTGATGCTAAATAAGGGGTGGAAATGGCCAATTTCACATAAAGTTCAGGCATTCTTATCGATTGCAATGGTTCTAACTACGGTCAACTTGAAAAAGAAAGGCAAAATTTCGGCTAATATTTGTTGATGTGCAAGGAAGATGAGGAAATGAGAGACCATTTGTTCTAGAATTTAATATTTCAGAACGGGATTTTTGAAAGATCAGTTGCTCTTTGATGTTACCAAGAAGTAATAAGGATATCATAGATCATTTCAATACGGTGGGATTGTTGAAGACTAGGAAAAAAGTCTAGAAGATCTTTGGTTAGAGCTGTGGAAGTAAAAGAATGGAAGAATATCTGACGGAATAATATCGGATGAGGACAAAATTAAGGGAAAGATTTTACACTCATTGTGGTGTTGGTTCTCAAATAGAAAATAAGGTCAAAAGGTCTCACAACGAGATATTTTTTAAAATTTGGGGATCCTGATCAGTCTTAATATTCCTAAACTTCAGCCGACAAGTAGATGGGATGCTATAAACTAGGTTTTTATGGGAGTAGGAGGTATTCTTAGATATTTGGGTGCTAATGGTGTCTTCTATTATGCTCGGCCCTATGGTATAGCAATAGCTAAACAAAACTTAAATCTCTCTTGCAAGAACTTGAAATTAAAAAATAATAATAATTATAATAATAATAATAATAATAAACAAAACAGTTCGTAGGGCGATTAATTGCATAAAGAGATTCTCTTAATGTTATAAAATCATGCAAAAAGGAGCAAAATGTTGTAGTCTAAAAAAGGAAATGGAGTTGTAATTGGTTATGGGAGGTTAGGGGTTTGTGAATACTTTTTTTACCCAACCTGACCTTAAGGTTGCAGTTGAGAAAACCAATAACTGAGAATATTATCAAGAAGGAGGAGAAAGAGAGAGAACTATTCCATATATTGCTTAGTGGATTTATCAAGTGGGCATACCTATCAATGCCGCTCGCCTAGTCATTTTGTAAACCTTAGTAGAATCAATTTGGGAATTTGGATGAGTTGAAGCCTCCATCCTAATATGAGTTTTTAGAGCCTCTTTTATAGAGCCTCTTTTGAAAAAAGAAGTGCTGATCACAAAGGAGATTTTGGATCACATAACGATGCATGGGCTCAGTAGATGGGGTATCTAATATGATTGACACTTAGAGTGACAGGAAGAGAAGGAGTCAAATGAATTTATTGGGTAATTCTCGCTTAGGGACTACTCCTCTGAGATCTATTGATGCCTCCAATAATAGGTACAATGCCATGTACATATTTGAAGTGTTTGAAAAGGGTATCAAGTCGGTTGGGGAGCTGCATGTTATTCAGGTTATCACAGATAATGATGCTCCTAATGTTGCTGCCTCTAATTTGCTGCACATGAGCTATCATCTTCTCTTTTGGACACCGTGCACAGCACACTGCATAGACATCATGCTTGAGGCTATTGGCAGTATGAACGAGATTGTAGGCACATTTGAGAAGGCTAAGTCAAATACAGCCTCTATCCATATCCACACCCTCACCTTGAATATGATGCATAGGTTTACAAAGAAAAAGGAGATAGTGAGGTTGGGAATCACAAGATTTGCTACTTGGTTCCTATCTCTAGATAATATACATTCAAAGAGAGAGTCTAATTGAGGCAAATGTTCACTTGGAAATGATACAACTGGGCTAGGGACTAAAAAGGAAAGAAAGCATGAGATATCCTATATAATTTTTTATGGCGAGGGGTGAAGGGCACGTATTTTTTTTCCTCTGGTCAAAGTCTTACTCATGATTGACAGTGACAGCCCCTCCATGAGCTTCATTTGTGAGGCATTGGAAAGCTGAAAGAGAGAGATAGCTCATGAATTGGATAATGATAAAAGCCATTATGAGGTAGTTTAGAATATTATTGATGGGAACTAAGATAAGTAGCTACACTTACCATTGCATGAAGTTGGTTATTTTTTTAACTTAGCTTTTATTTATAAGGATAGGGATATACACACAAATGATGCAATTATGAATGGATTTGATTATTGTCTGGAAAAGCTAGTCCCTAATCATGAAATCTAAGACATAATATACATTGATGAACTAATAAAATACAAGTGCACTGGTGATAAGGCAAAGGAGTAAAGTCGATCCAAGTAGTAATATACTTAACCAAGTTTTCAAGTTCAAGTTTCATGTTTGTTGTTTGTCGTTTGTTGTTTGATTTTTATATTTCATATTTAATCTTAAGTTTGAAATTCATAATCTCTTAGTTAACTATAGTTTAATATTTAGCACATTGAATTTGCAGCCGATTGGTGGAGCTAGGAATGGGTGTAGTGCTCCAAACTTATAAAAGATGGTCATCTGGAACTTGAGCCTAACCACTACACCGTTTGGCTATGAACAGAGTACTTTTGCGATGGTATGTTACTACTAACTTACTATGCTACTTAAGTTTAAATTTTAAACAATTAAATTTTTGTTTATAATTTATTAATTAGCATTAGTAATTAATGATTAGTGATTATTACATAAATTGCAAATATTGATTCTTTTCATTTTATTGCATATGTTTTCAATTTTTCATATACGTTCATATAACAAAAAGAAATAGGCTTCAATCAAAGGCTTAGTTTATGTAAAGTTCAATAGATTTCTTAAGGAAAGATTTGCAAAGCGTGCCAAAAGAAGCCCCGTAATATAAAAGACAGAATACCATAGAGAGGTTAATTAATGATGATGAGGTCAAAGGGTATGAGAAATTGATATGGTATATGTTATGAAATGAAGGATGAGCATTAGCTTGAGGGAGATAATTCCAATGATGGACACGACTCCAATGCATATATATTGTTGACCCTTTCTTTGATGATGACCAAAGATACTTAAGAGTCTTCAGGTCTACATTTCTTTCCTTTTCTTTTGAGTATGGACTATTCCTCTTATGTGTATAGAGTATGGACTATGGACTGACATGGTAACCACTCATAATAATGGTGACCAGGAGTGTATCACACTATGTGCCATGTGAATTTGAATGTTGAATTATGTTTTCCTACTTTTTTTAATGTGTTATTAACTAATTGTCCCAAGCTCAAATATTTTGATTTGCCCTTGAAGTTTGGTTTGATTGAATGCAAAAAGTGTATTAAAAATACCTCGATATATATTATTTATACATAAATTGGGTCTCAAACAATTTTTAAAACACCTCCACACCGGATCTTGAAACCAGGATGGCCATCTAGGTGTTGGGCGGCTAGGGCTCCCCACCCACCTAGGCGCTGCCCCGCATTTTTTTGGAACATTGGCTAAAATGCTACTCAAGGTATAGGTAAGATTAAATTGCTGAGACAAAATTCAATATCCAGTCGTGATCTAAGAGGGACGGAGAATATACATCTAGAACTTATGATCTGAGCCGTCTGCTATGTTATTCCTACGAATGGATGATTTGCAAGAAATCAACTTCATGTGCAGGTATTAACATGTAATCAATAAAATTTATACTGAATGATTCTGAAAGTTACTTTCCAAATTCCAATGACAATCTCCCGAATACGTTATCAAACAAACCAATAGAAAAAATCAAAAACAGGAATACAAAATCCCCCCCAGGAAACTATTTCACAGGAAATTCATTTTCCATATAAAACAATTTCCCACAAATGGCCCTGAATGGAATATTTCTTTTTTCTGCCCCACCGAGCATCTCTTCAAATTTCGCAATGACAAGACTTGCCTAACGGCTTCCATTGTAGGAGGAGCATGAGTTCAAAAAGAACAAAACTGCAGATTCATTTCTTATCTGCAGGCCCACCTTTGAGACGAGGCTGATATTCATTTCTTATTATTTTGTCAAAGTTTTCATAGATTACATTTTCATAATTTCAATTGCTCTCTTAATTTTCTAAATTCCTATGTGAAATAAATTGTAAAACAAAAAAACGGTCAATTTGATGGCTTTTGCCGAGATTTTAAACTGTTCTGCAAACCAAGTCGCAACTGATCCAATCTGTGTTTCCCCGTTTAATGTATTGCAGCAACTCCAATAGCATCCAAGTAAACCAAGAATTACAGTAAGAAAGCCTGAAGTAGCTCAAAGATCCAATAAAAAAGCTCCAGTTCGCTCATCAGGAAATAAGCACAAATTTCTAGAGGCAAGCATCCATCTCATTTCCAAACTCAAGTGAACCAGAATCCACAAACAACAGCCAATATATGAAAATCAATATCAAAACAACCACAATGGAGAAAGCATATAGGACTACCGTAAGGGCCAGGCAAAAAAAAAGCCAGCCCCTACACAGCATGTCCATGTCAGAAGAAAAAAACCTCAAGGACATGTTAGTCTTCTCCTTAAACCAGAAAACAAGAAGCAAATGAACAAAAAGGAAATAATTACAGTTTTCTTGAGAAATAGATTTTACAAGTGGGAAGAGCGATAGATAGAGAGAGAGAGAGAGAGAGAGAGAGAGAGAGAGACCTTTATCTATAGCACAGTATTTATGTGGAGAGCTTTGAGAAGAGCTGTAGCCATCTGTTTGACCAAGACTTGACCCCCAGAGCGTTCTCCATCTCTGCGTTCTTCAATCAGATTCTGAAGTTTCTGAGGCAGATCATTCTCCACTATGAGTTGCTTCGGGCGAGGGTGGTGCTCGTACACAGCCTGGAGATACGCAACTCATTTAGGATAGCAGAAAAAGGAAATAAGGGGGAAAAAAAACTTGAAGGGCCAGGCATCTACTGATACAAAAGAAATCACTCACTCTTTGACATGAAAGAGGGTATTTTTATTATCTTACATAATTAAGCTCACTCGAAGATTCAGAGATCCATGGTACATGTGTATCTTGTGTATGTGCATGTGTATACATCAATAGTGAGTAAAGGGGGCAAAACGAATCAGAGTTCCTATCAGTTAATATTGTGCCTGTCTTGAGCTGCTGGAAATAATCTTTTGACTACTAATCTATAAGAATGTGTCAACAGTCAACTGCACAGATTGACAGCGACAGGTATAAGATGCTCTTCCAACTCACCTTGATGAGCTTGAGAAGATTCAGACGAGCAATAGCATCCTGATGGTCAAGTCTTGCAATAAGCAGAGGTGTCAACCCATTAACAGCCAATGTTGTATTGATTCTGGAAGATTTCCTGCAAAATAAAGATTGAACCAACATAAATCACAGGTCAAAGGGGGAAAAAAAGGTATGTGATTTAGATATTAATTTCTGGAGACAAGTAAATCTCAGAGACTTACGTAATGACTTTCAAGAAGGGTTCCAATATGTGCACAAAAGATGGTTCTGGACAACATTGGAAAAACTTGACCAATTTCTGAACTGCTTCCTTCTTAAGCAATGCTTGCTCCACCTTCTTGTGATCATTATCGTGTGCAAGGCAAACAGCAAGAGAATCTAGGGCAGTCACAGACCACATTTCATCATCCAATAAACTCAAGTATACATCCAAGCCACCATGAGCCCTTAGTTGCTCTCTTGAGTTTCGAGAAGCATGAGCCATGTCACATAGAAGAGGCAAGGCATATTGCTTCAATGGTGAGTTTGAGATAATGAAACGCATCAAGTGTGGAATAATGCCATTTTCAGCTGCTTGCTCTTGTCTCCTCTTGTTGATTTTGCAGAGATTGTACAGTGCATTAAGAACCTTTCATGCAGACAGCACAAATATAGATTAAAATGACCGAGCTTCATTCTTCTTTTAGTTCGCAAGTACTTAATTCATCAGATGCTTTAAAAGAAAGAATACAAGAAAAGAAAAACAAATGATAAAGTACAGAATTATCTAAAAAAAGTAGGAAAATAGTTGGTGAGTCGAACAAATCATCTATTTACCTTAGAATCCAAAATTTTTGTAATCTCAGCCATAAAATTAATCATGAATCTGAAAATAAAAATGGTGTTTTTTTTAAGATTTTTGTCCACCATCCATTTTGGCTTTTAGTGGAGGCATCAGTTTTTTATGTCCATCTTAGCTATGGATATTTGATGCATAAGGAGATGCACAAAAATAGGTAAGTCAGCTGACTCACCATAACTAGATCCAAATAAGTATGCACTTCCTTTTTGTGTGTCAACCTTATTCTACAAAAGTAACGCACATCTCAGAATTCCAGCAGAGGCTAGAAAACCCTCCAATTTATCATTTGGACCTCGAGATGTATAGATATGAAATAAAAACGATTTCAAATCCTAAAAATTGTGCATCTTGTATCACACTATCTGGACCGTCCATTTTCAAGATTTTCAAAAGTCTACAGACATGCTTGATCCTCAACACTTTTGGAGCTTTAAATTTTATAATTAGGGGTAGAAATTGATTTTCAAGCCATCATAAGCGTTTTCGGAACCAGAGCTGCATTTTTAGCCAGGTTTGGGGTGCACCGTACTTTGATTTTTAAGGTTGACTTATATAAAGCATACCCTTTTTTTTTTGGTGAAGTATGCAATTTTGAAAACCAAGTTTTCTTCTAAAACCCACTTTACTGTTTCTGTAAAATCAAAAATCTAGTTTGTGGAGCACATCAAGGGATAAGGCCACAAATGAGTTTCTCGAAGATGCATGGATGGATCTAGAAGTGTTCTGATGGGAATACATCATGCCCATATAAACAGGCTTTAGTGTACCTATTGCCAAGCTTGGACAAGTGATCCTCAATCTACACCTGTATGAGATTGTTGAAAGGATTCCTATCTAGGGCAACCATTGTTTCGGATCTATGCTCTCCCAATGTTTGATAGCTGCAAAGGTCCCAATCAAAACACAGGGAGAATTCCAATCATCAGGAATCATTCTTTATGATCCAGCCAATCGTTTGATTGGGAAGGTCAAAGTCTAAATCTTTGATATGCTAGTGGGGATGGGTGGGGTGTTTTTTTGTGCTTTTTTATTTTTTTTATTGAGGGTGGGTTTGGGTTAGGGTGGGGGCAGGGATAACAAGGGTGTGGACGCTAATGAGTTTGCCACAGCAACAGGATGTTTTTTGATGAGGTGTTTTTCATCATGCAAGTCTAAATCTTTGAGAGATTCCGTGGTCATTTCTCTACATGGTCAGAAGTCATGTATTTTTACACAACTAAAGGAATTCCAGACTTCTGAAAATGGCATCATTTTAATAGACTCCAATTTCCACACGAACTTCAGTCAGCTGGGTAGACAATTAGGTGAATATAGATCAGCTGAATATGAGAATAGTAAAGTAATCATCTAGTCTAATCTGTGCCCCAAACAAAACCAGGAAAAGAAGCTTCACTAGTGACAAAATCACCAGCGAATAACAAGTGCATCATCTGTACAACGATCTTAACCAGACGACTATACTGCCGTGCCTGGAACAAGTACATAAACACCTGCAACTTCATGAACTCCCTGAAACTCGAAAGGATGAATCATGCCCTTGGCATCACATCAGCAAGTAGAAATGCTCCCCTCAACAAAAGGGGCCAGAAATCATGAAAGGCACTATGCCCTAGTCGGTCTATGCCAGTGTTTTAAAATGCCGCCGCATCGCCGCATATACGCCCGCATCATGTGGGATGCACTCACATCCGCATTAGAAACAGGCGCATATGCGCTTTTGACAGATGCGGCCTCATATGTTCCGCATCGTAGCCGCATCCCGCATAGGCCGCATCGCACCGCATCCCACTGCTACAGTGTCCACCGAATTTTTTTTCTGTTTTGCCCCTTGGGAAGGGGCAAAATGATCTTTTTGATCATCCAAATGTTAGGGAAACTGTTTGGGAGGGTATTAGGGGCCCTGAACGAAGATTTTCAGCCACTTTTGTGGCTTTTTTGCATCAAATCAAGGTAAAACTAAAATTTAGGCGGAATTTTTTTTTTCATCGAAATCTTCGATTTGGCCGTTGTTTAATACTTGGATGTTCATTGGATGCCTTTGATTGTTGATTTGGAGATGTTAGGGTGAATTTGTGATAAAAAATCGAGGGTTTCAGAAGTTGTAAAGAAATCGAGCAGTACTTCACAGAGTCAGTAAATTTTGTTTCCTTCTTGTACAATATTACTATTATACATATTTTTGCAGTAATGACTTCTTCCCAATCTTCTAGTAATAAGGATCCGGCTTGGAAATCTGCTAAACTAAAAAATCCCAAAGATAGAAATTGTGTGATATGCTTGCTCTGTGGAAATACTTATATGGGTGTATAACTGGATACAAAATCTCCGACAACTAATAGTTTTGAAGTTAATCATTAAACTAAAATACCTACTATCACATATATCACCTTCATATATTTTTTTATATGCATTAACTTATTTTTTAAAAAAATTTAGAATTTTTTTACATTTATTGACCGCATCATCGCCATTCGCCCGCATCCAGGCCGCATCAAGCCACATCGGCCCCCCACCGCATCACGGCCACATCCCGCATTTTAAAACACTGGTCTATGTGAATACTTAAGTGTGACAAACATCTAAAACATACAGCCACTTCGCTTAGAATTACATGGATTCTAGAAAATTTCCAGGATATCCTAGTCCTCTAAATTTCATAGTCCCCCAAGATTGATCACAAACAAAACACAAACAACCAACAGGAAAGATCTAACTTAGGAAAAATAAAATATTAATGCCATAAATAATAAAATAGCCACTTAATTTCCTAAGAGAAGTATTCTTTAAGCAACAAATTTTGCATTGCCAACAGAGGAGCTAAGTTTATTTAGCTTCTCCAAGTTAGAAATGCAAAACGTTATTATCAAATCATAGAAAGCATTTGATGACAGTGACAACAATAATACTATTCACAACAGTTATTGGGGTCAAAAATATGATAAACAAGTGAGCTGTTTTTCTTTAAATTGTAGAATTTTCTTCATGACCATCTCCTTCATGCCCAAGTCTAAACCACATGATTTACAAGTAGAAAAGTAACTTTACTATCATCTACAACATTCACATTGGTTAGGAAAAAGAAGGCACAAAGAAGCAAGCTATTAATAAATATCACTTTCAAGCTTCACAATTGCTGATAGCATATTTGCAGCCGCATCATTCTTATCATCATGTAAATTTTACTGCCGATTTTCTTAGTTCCATAAGCATTTAAGAAATGACGACACAAAAAAAACAAGAATCTACATACTTCAGTATGTATTTGAGCAACAAGAGGCCCTTCATGGAGCTCAAGGTTTGGAATCAGATGCTTGATTGCATCTGCCCGCTGAAGGTTCTCCAAGCAGTTCGGATCAGTAGACAAATTACTGATACACTTTAGGATCTGCGAAGGGCAAACATGGCAGTAGAAAAACCCCAGTAATATCAAATTGTGCCATATGTTTAATAATTGATATACCTAATAACATTCTTTGGTGGTAACACACCTTTAAAAGAATGGGAAGCTCTATCTTTTTGAGCATCTGAAAGAGACGATTCAGCAAGCTTTGGCTACACATGTAAGACTTCACTGCCGTGTCTGCTTGAGAAAACTCAAGTAATAGATCAGCCACCTTTTCTAGATACTCCCTTGCAACATCTGCATTCAAGGTAGATGCCATTTGTGCAAGCAGCCCTGATGACGTAGCACTACCAGCTCGAGCATTGAGCACGCCAGATCCAGACAGTATACCTGAAGCCGTTTGTGATGCAAGTCCAGAAGACGAAGCAACTCCTTCATTAACAACTGATGCCAAAGCCTGGGGGTTAACCCTGTTATATGCTTTTGGTGACAACCTCGAAATGGATTCAAGATTTCCATTTTCTCTACCTTGTGCAGAGACCTCTGCAAAAATGAATACAGACAGCAAAAGCATCTTCAGTCATGCCAAATGAAAATTGCAAAAAAATAAAAAACACAAGCAATACTTGCGGTAAACTTGACAAAATTTTAGCAAGATTCAGGTATTTAAAAGAGCAGAAGAAAACAATGTCTTTTTTTTTTAATGTGTTTACTATTTATAGAATAAAGATGTACAAGCTATCAAAAAGTAGGCTACCCACAACTGGGGAGCTCTATTCAAAAACCACTGAGAGGGTGATGAGAGTCGAAAACTATTGTACATCCAAAAAAGGACAAAGGCTAAGGTCTCTAAACTCCTGCCACAGCTGTTGCCCCCTTAGCATGAGCATCCACCATGTGGTTCACCTTCCGCCATGTATGAGTCCATGAAACGGGATATGTCTACAAATATCAAAAATCTCGTCAAACATGTGAACGAGTCTCCAGGGGGGTGTGGCCTGCCCCAAGGCCCAGAGGATGACATTACTAGAGTCATCTTCCACGACCGATTCAGTGCTCCAGTGAGTGTTGAAGTGTTTGAGACCTTGCAAAAGGGTAAGATCTTCCGCCATAGTGGAATCAGCTCAGCCGATAGGTCTGGCGAAGGAGAAGATGAAGAGGCCGTGGTGGTTTCTAAAGATGACCCCAATATTGACCAGACCTGGGTTGCCAAGAGAGCAATTGTCGAACTTAAGTTTGGTTTTGCCCAATTCCAGAGGTTGCCAAAGAGATGAACGAGGGATGGTATCGGGCCTGAGAGAAAGAAGTGACTGCCAGTTGAGATGGACGTTCGAGGCTGAGAGGTGCTTGAACCAGCTATGGTTCGAGGCCCAAAAGATGACTATGGATTTGATGTTGTCCCTCAAGGAGTGGAGTGGAGAGTAACAGCCTCAAAAAATGCAGTTGTTGCGCTCAATCCAAATGCCCGATAAGGTAGCCGAAATTGAGGCCTTCCTAAATAGAATGCCTGATTTGGCCCATAGTAGAAACTTCGTGTATCCAACCAATTGGGGTACAGACCTTGGGGTGACTCAAGACCAGTTGAACAGTAGAAGTAGGTCCTTCCAAAGATTGCTGGCTAGGCTGCAGCGCATAAATAGGTGTGGATTTGTTTCCTCGTTGGCCATGCACATCACACAGCGATTAGGAGTGATGAGGCCCTTTTTTTGTAGCCGATCTACTGTTAAAGACCCTCTCTGAATGGGTAATCCAATTGGGCAATCCAATTGAATACTTGGATTTTGGGGCAAATGAAGGATAGCCAAGTTTTGGTGACGATGAAATGAGAGGGCGTGGAGGTTGGGCCGGAACGAAGCATGTGTTAAAAGGAGAAAACTGAGACGGAACCGTCCGCAGTGAGGAACCAATCCTATCCTAGCCATGGGGAAAGAGAGATAGACAGAGTGAAGAACTGAAGCTTGAAGGACGGCTTCGATATCTCAGTCATGGAGGTGCTTACTAAATTTGTTCCAGGAACGAGAAGTGCCTACCATTTGGAATGAATCCGCAACCAAGACATTATTGTCTCTTGCTAGGGGAAAAGGTTGGGAAAAAGGTCTCTCAGGGAAGTGTGGCCGATCCATAGATCGGACCAGAAGTTAATTCCGTTGCCCACCCTTGCATGGAAGCGAATGTTGGTTTTGAAAGGGTGTAGGCAATTCACAAATGATCTCCAGGCACCTGAGCATGAGATGTAGGCAGTATTGTGGGGAAACTGGGGAGGATGGTGGAGGCAATATTTGTGGTGAAGAACATCTTGCCACAGATGGCTGCCCTGGGTGGACAGACACCACCACCATTTGCCCAATACGGTCAAGTTTTTAAGTTTGAGGAAGCGAATGCCCAAGCTGCCTTGAGATTTAGGCTAACAAATTGTGGTCCAGGAGATGAGGTGATACTTCCTGGATTCACGGTCTCCGGACCAAAGAAAGTTGTGCATGAGTTGCACCAAGCGTGAGGCAACTGCAGCGAGCAGGTGGAAGAGGGACATTTGGAAAATGGGGAAGTTGGAAAGGATGGCCTTGATGAGGGCTACTCTACCTGGGGGGGAAGGAATCTTCCTTTCTAGGTAGCCAACTTGCGGTCAAATTTATCAATGATGTGCCCCCATTGCCTATGTTTGGGCTTGTCGTGGGGAAGGCCAAGTTAGGTGGAAGGAGGGGTGTCTAGTGCACAGCCCCACCTATCGGCAAAATCTTAGGTAGCCTGCGACTCCATGCCGATGCCAATCATTTTCAATTTGGCCATGTTGACCTTAAAACCCGTGGCGAAATTGAAACATTTGAGGAAGAGCAGTGAGTCTACCAGCTACTCGGAGGCCCCACAAAAGAGTAGGGTATCATCGGCGTATTGAGGTGAGAGATGACAGGGCCACCATTGGTGATATTGAATCCCTCCAACAGGCCATGACATTACATTCTGGCCAGTGACCTGCTTAAGACCTCCGCCACAATGGCAAAAAGAATGAGGACAGGGGATCCCCTTGCCGGAGGCCCCTAGAGGAGGGGAAGAAGTCCTTGAGGGTTCCATTGATGAGAATGAAAAAGTCGGTGTTAGAGATGCAAACCCCTGATCCAATTGCCCAAAGATTACTGAAACCCAATAAATATGGTCGTATGCTTTTTCCCAGTCCAATTTAATTAGCAGTCCCAGAATCTTGGATCAGATTCTTAAGTTTATACACTCGTGTGTAATAAGGGCTCCATCTAAAATTTGGCAATCTTACAAGAAAGCCCCTTGATGGGGGAGGGGGGGTAACACCCATCGTAGCACCTCATTGAATCTGGAGGCCAAGACCTTCGCTAGTATCTTGTAAAAACTGTCAATTAGGCTTATGGGTCTAAAGTTCTTGAGTTCTTCGACTCCTTCCACTTAGGGGATGAGGGCGATGAAGGTCATGTTCATACCTTTGTTGTTAACCCCCCTCTCATAAAACTCCTCAAAGAAGGCAAGTATGCCAAGGCGAAGGATTTACCAAATGTTTTTTAAGAGGGCTAGGGGGAAGCCGCCCGAAGTATGTCAAGGCGACGGGGTTCCCAAAAGTTTTTGAAGAGGGCTATAGGGAAGCCGCCAAGGGCCTGGGACTCGATCTTGGCCTAGGTCGGAGATGGCTTTGAGGATCTCGTTTTCACTATAGGGGTGCTCAAGCCAGAGGGCTCGATCTGGGGGAATGGTCTGGAAGAGAGGTCGGCCATCTTGGGGGTATGTTTGGTTGGCAACCTGAAGAATTGTGTAAAGAAGTCGATAACAGCTCTCTCCACTAGAGGGGGTTCATCCAAGATTACCCCCTCGACGACTAACTAGTTATGGTATTAACTCTTCTTCTACAGTCGGTCATTTTGTGGAAAAAGGCCATGTTGAGATTTACACATTTGAGCCATTTGAGCCTCGAACATTAGGCTCAAGAAATCTCTTCCTTTAGGGTGTTTTGGTAATCCATTTTGAGCTAAGTCCTGAGCTGGATTTCATTGGAAGTGAGGCAACGAGATTCTTAGATCTGGTCCCAAAAGTTGAAGGAGGGATTCTTTAAGGACGTGGACATTCCAAAGAAGTTGGCTACTCTTAAGATTTAAGGAGACCCCTAAGAATTGGGAGTTCCTCTAGAAGCAATAGCCAACCCACCCATGCACTGGGTTGGAGAGTGAGGACCACCACGAGGAAATTAGAGAGGGCTGGCCAGGCTCCTTGAGCCAAGCCAATTCGAAACAAAATGGTCTAGGCCCTCCCCAAGCCAAACGGGTGTTGAAGAGATTGGGCTTGTCATCTAAGGTAGGTTTGAGGAGGGTTGAGGAATGCGTACCAGGGAAGGAAGGGTCCCAATCGGGACTGATCAGTTATCGGTCCAATTTAGATAAGGATGGAGAGGAAGAGTGACTGGACCAGGACAAGACTGCTCCGTGGACAGAAATTTCAATGAGTTTGTCTAGAGATGAAATCTGAAAAATCAAGCATGGATCAGGTAATTCTAAAGCTTGAGTTTCTTTCGAATGACCATCTTATGGCGTTAAAATGCCAAGCCCACCCCCCCCCCCCCCCCCCCGCCCCCCCACAAAATTACACCAACAGAGGGGATGGGAGGCGACAGTGTCCAACTCATCCCAGAGAAGGCCTCTGAAAGAGCCAAAGTTGGGGCCATAGACGACTGCGAATTTTTAAGGAAGCCCATCAGAAATTCTAGTGAGGGCCCAGTAAAAGAGGCCATGTGAAAGGTCACAAGGGCATGGGTGGATGTGTCTCAAACCCCACCCCCCCCTATTACACCATCAACAGGGGGGATGCAAGGCGACAGTGTCGAGCTCATTTCGAGCTCATTCCAGAGAAGGCCTCTAGAAGAGCCAAAGTTGGGGCCATAGAGAGCTGTGAATTTCCAAGGAAGAACATCATATATTCTAGTGAGGGCGATGGTAACAGTAAAAGAGGCAATGTGAGATGTCACAAGGGCATGGGTGGGTGGGTCTCAAATGACCCATATGCCACCCGAGTCACGAGCAGCCTCTAGAGCCACTCATTGGCATGGTCTTCGACCTCATATCTATCAAACTAGTCCAAGAGTGGGGGGGGGGGTTGTTTTGTTTCTAGAAGAGTGGGATAGAAGGGGAATGCTTTGAGCAAAAGGCTCGAACAGAGTTGCATTTGAGAGGGTCTCCAAGTCGCCAAATATTCCACATTACGAGCTTCATGGGCTGGGGAAGGCGATAGGAGGGGGGGAAATGACTAAGACTAGAGGTTGTGGTGGGGGTGGGTAAGCACCTGAGAAAGGTGAGATATGGGAAACTAAGGGACAAAAGAGGGATAATGGGTGGCAAGGTTAGGCACCAGGGGAAGGGAGGACATAGGGTGGATCGACAAGAGGTTCCACAAAGGTTGAGGAATAAAGGAGAGATGGGAGGCAAGAAGGGAGGGGAGCTAGACAAAGGGGGAGCGGGGAGAGGGAGCCAACGATAAGTGTGGTGGAGGTGCACGATGGAGACGAGGTGAAGGGGGTGTGGGGGAAGGGTTAGAGGCCGGAGATGCTGGCCGGTGTTGAAGAAGGGTCGACAAGGATGAAAGGAGACGAGCCGAGTGTCGCTTGGCTTGAGGAAGGGGATGTCTGGCAGAGGGTACTGCTGAGCCTTGCAAGGGGGGTGACGAGGGGCTCCAACTGGGCTGAGTTCATTGATTCCTCCTAAAAAATTCATTTCAATTGGAATGTGCTTATTCGTCATGATCCTTGTCAAATTAAGCATCCATCGCTGAATGGTTAAATGGCAAATTTGTAGGTTCAATTCCTGCTGGATGCACACCAATTGGAATGTTTGTGGAGGTTGGAATTCTAAAAGGAGTAAGATTGAAAGGGGGAGCCTGGAGAAGGCAGCGCGGGTCACGGGCCTCAGGAAGAGAGGAGAACAAAGGAGGGTCGTCGGATGAGAGTATCGCCTTGGGTTGCGAGCCATGTGGCAATAGAGCTAAGGAGGTTGACAGTTGAGGGTCAGGGCAGGTACACAAGACACGTGAACTGGGGGAGGGAGAGAGGTTGGAGTCTCATCGATGAGAGAAAAGCATGGCGAGGAAGAAAGGGATTCGGGGCTCATGGTAATGAGCAGATGCGAAAGAATGGGGGATATGTGTTGAGAGTGGGAAGGGGGAGGACAACGGCTAGCAAACTGAAGGGGAGGAAGAGGGAAGGGCGTAGTCTGGGTGACTGTCAGGTGGCAGGAGGTCATCAGGAAGGAGACGGGGGGAGGACCAAGGGGCAGGAGCACTGACGTCAATTGAGTGGGAGGGGGTGAGGAGGCTTGTTGTGGCCACAGCCGCAGGTTGATGGGGAGAGCTCTCTCGGTGACATTCAACATGAGTCTTTGGATTACGGGATCTGCAAGGTCTGGGTTGGGGAAGGCTAAGGAATGGATACCAGGGAAGGAAGTGTCCCAATCGGGACAGATCAGGCATAGGTCCAATTTGGAGAGGGATGGAAAGGAAGAGTGATTGGAACAAGTGAAGACTGCTCTGTGGAGGGAAATGTCGATGAGTTAATGCCTAGAGATGAAATCTCAAAAATCGAGCATGGGTTGGGTAATTCTAAAGCTTGAGTTCCTTTCGAATGACCACCTTATGACATTAACGTCTCCCCCCCTCCAACAACCCAACCCCCCCCCCTGCACCAACGGGAAGGGTGGAAGCAACAGTGTCGAGCTCATTCCAGCGAAGTCCTCTGGAAGAGCCAGAGTTGGGGCCATAGACAGCTATGAATTTCCAAGGAAGCCCATCAGAAATTCTAGTGAGGGTGATGGTCATAGTAAAAGAGACAATGTGAGATGTCACAAGGGCATGGGTGGTTGGGTCTCAAATGACCCATATGCCACCCAAGGCACCGGCAGCCTCCAGAGCCACCCATTGGCATGGTCTTCGACCTCAAACCTATTGAACTTGTCCAAGAGTCGGGGAAGGTGTTTAGTTTCTAGGAGAGTGAGGATAGAAGGGGAGTGCTTTGAGCCAAAGGCTGGTACTGAGTTGCATTTGAGAGGGACTCCAAGTCACCAAATATTCCACATTAAGAGCTTCATGGGGAGGATTAGTAGACAGGGACGTGTCTTGAAGAGCGTCTAGGGGTTCTAAGCCCCGAGGAGGCCACTGATGAAGAGGGGGAGGATGGAGCCCCAGAGTCGTAGTTAACATCGAAGTGAAGATTTGAGAGCTATCTTTCACCCTTAATGCTTGCTTTGAATCTTGATTGAGCATCAGATTTGGGGAAAGCTTCGATGTCCTCCAACGAGCCGTCGAATTCGAAGCCCATGAGATTTAGGATCTCCTAGATGTTACCATGTGCTCTCTCCATCTCGCTAACGAAGTTGGAATCTACCGAAGGACAGGAGCCTTAGGTGGAGCTAGTGTGTTGGGGAGGAGTGGGGTAGGGGCAAAGGTGGCGTCTCCATTGGGTGGGGAAGGTTCGACTATGATACAGGGAGGGAAAGGAGATGAAGGTAGGGATAGAGGAGAGGCCCCTAAAAGTAGGGGGGCGGTGTGGGTGCTGAGGAGAGAAGGTAATAGGGTACCGAGATGGCAGCGAAAGGGGAGGGATTGTAGAAACGAGGGTTAAGGAGGGTGATAGTTGGGCGAAAAATGACCAAGACGAGAGGTTATGGTGGGGGTGGATAAGGACTTGAGAGCAAACTAAGGGACGAAAGGGAAAGGGAGCCTAGGGTAGTGGGGGATAGGGGGAAATGAGGTATAGCAAAGGGGGAACCCAAGGGGTGGAGGGGTGGAGGGGTGACGGAGGGGGCAAGCAATGGAAGGGTATAGAGAGGAGGGAGAAGGGGTGGCAACGTTAGGTACCAAGGGAAGGGAGGACAGAGGGGGGATCGACAAGAGGTTCCACAAAGGTTGAGGTTGAGGAGAAGGGGAGAGATGGGAGGCGAGAAGGGAGAGGAGCCATTGGAGAGAGAGGGAGAGGGGGGAGAGAGGGCAGCAAAAGTGAGGCAGCAACGATAGGTGGGGGGGAGGCAGATGAAGGAGACGAGGTGGAGAAGTGTGTGGGGGAAGTTTAGAGGCCGGAGATGCTGGCGGGTGCTGAAGAAGTGTCAATGAGGACGAAGGGAGAGGAGCCCAGGTGTCACTTGGTTTGAGGAAGGGGGCATCCAGCAGAGGAAGGAGGGTAACGCTGAGCCTTGCAAGGGGGGTGTTGGAGTTCCAAAAGGGGTTAGATTGAAAGGGGGAGCCTGGAGAAGGCAACGGGTCAAGGCCTTGGGTAGAGAGGAGAACAAAGGAGGGTCGTTAGATGAGGGTAACAGCCTGGGCTGCAAGCCATGTGGCAATAGAGCTAGTGAGGTTGACAGGTGGGGGGGAAGGCATGTACAGAGGGCACGTGAATCGGGGGAGGGAGAGAGATGGGAGTCCCGTAGATGAGAGAAAAGCTTGGCAAGGAAGGAAGGGGTTCAGGGTTCAAACTTCAACATAATGAGCGGACGGGAAAGAATGGGGGACACGTGTTGAGAGTGGAAAGGGGGAAGACAAGGGTGGCAGACCAAAGGGGAGGAAGAGGGAAGGGCGTTGTCAAGGTGACTGTCAAGTGGCAGGAGGTCATCGGGAAGGAGAGAGGGGGAGGACCGAGGAGCACGGGCACTGACGTTAGCCGAGTGGGAGGGGGTGATGAGTGTTGCCCTGGTTGCAGCCGCATGGTGATGGGGAGATCTCTCTTGATGAGGTTCAATGTGGGTCTTTAGATTACGAGATCTTCGGTTAAGGGTGGTGTTTTTTCGACGATGCCTTGAAACTGTGGTCCACCCATAGCTCAGTGCAGGATTCTCTAGGCAACACAGCAGTTGGACATGGCGGTCAGAAGGAAGAGAGGCTACCGCCCAAGAAATGTAGACACAGTAGTCCCCTTCGATGTGGAGCCAAAGTTTTGGAAGGAATGGATTGAGAGTCCAAGACCTCAATCAACAGTTGAATGGAATCCATGGGGAGAAATTCGCAAGAACCAATGCGTTGAGATAAAATGTCCATAGAGGTAGCCAATAAGCAGGAAGGTGGGGCATTAAGAGGGATGTTTGAAACCCTCAGCCATATCATATGCTTTTTGAAGGCTCCCAAGAGATTGGACCATAAGGCCAAGGACAAAGTGGCTCCTTTGAAGGTCGGCAAGTCGAGGTGGAGGGCTCTTTGGGTGGAGGCCTCGGAGGGGAAGGTGAAGAGGACGTGGCCATTTGAAAGTCTTCGGCAGCCTAGGTCAGACTCCTTCCAGAGGCTTTGGCCCCATTTCTCAATGCCCCTGATATCATCTCTTTTGGGTTTGAAATGACATATTAGAGAGGAAAGCAATTTGTGCTTTTGAGAAAAGATATGTTGTCCAGCCAAGGAGATAACATTGTATGAGTCAGGGCGTTTGTGAAGAGAAGATGATGTTAGTGCCAGGTAGGAGTGCGCTGCAATGTGAGGGGTGTGGGAAGCAGATGGCGGAGGAGGCAGGGGATTGGGGGAGGACTTGATCAGATGGACATAGTTCTAGTAGAGGGAGAGGAGGGAGAGGAGGGAGAGGGGAGGAATTCCATAGTACAGTTGGCGAGTGCAGAATATATGGATACACCAATGCTCTCCCTGCAATTTTTCAAAATTGCTCTAAAAAAAGACTGATTGTGTTCAATTGAGCTATGTCCTTCAGTATGATCATTTCCAGAATTTCCAAAATTAAAGGCAAGAAAAACAGGGAAGGAAATGTCATGTGGATGACAAAGAAATTTTATAAAACTAAAGAAGTGATCAATACATGAAAATGAATTGTAATAGGGCAATGAAAGCTGATAACCAAAATTACAGTAAATGCATGAAAAGAATCCACGTTAAGGAACATTTCCTGCAACTTCTCCTTAATACAACCATACAGGACAATCATTCAACATCAGTAGAAATGGCATGATGCATGAGTGAGATTAAGGACCATAGCAACAGATGCTTGAAAACAGACACCAACTTGGGCAAATTTTTATATAATCAAGTGATCAAGAACAAAAGAAAGGACAGTTTACAACATTGATAATACCCAAAAAAGAATTCAGAATGGCTCGAAAAAATTCAGATTCACCAATCAAACACAGATCTATGCAGCAGCAATTGGAAGGTCACAATTAAAAGCTCTTTTTTCTTATTTAAATAATTGAAAGTTTCTGGAATAGACCTGCATGAATGGAGAGAGTAATGTAAAAGTTCTCACCTGCAAATGCTGCCATCAGGAACTCTAGCTCGCCATTGGTTTTCCTTTCTGTCGAAGCATGCAAAAGTGGCAAAATATTTTCAGGTCTGTCCAGACCCCCCGAAAGGTGACGTATATACTCAAGTTGACCAGAGACATGCCTAGAGGGAGGTTCCTTCTCTAACAAACTTAAGAGAGGTTGAACTTGCTCATTCTGAGATGGTAATGCACTAGAAGTCCCAACAGTTCCATTTGATGTACGAAGAGGATCCAACTGCTTGTGGGGCATATCCAAGGAAACCCTATTGGTAGTATTAGGGCCACGCTGCTGCCTGAGTAAGGCATTTTCTGCACTTCGGGACGCTTCTGACTTCCTCAATTCAAATGCTTCTCTCTCCTTGGACAAGAGAGGTATGGGTTCTTTGGTAGTTGAAGATCCAACACTCTCAAGAAATGAGGGATCTGATGTCTTAGATAGCAGCCCAGATTCAGATAAACTATATGCCGACCGAGGCTTCTCCATATCTCCGGAGATGAGCCTAGATTCAGGTTGGTTTGCATCTGATCGATGGGGTTGTGATGTCGAGGCTCTTGATGGCTCTGCAGCTGCAATTGATAGTGGAATTCTAGACTTAGGTGGTTCAAGTAGATCACGTGGAGCTGGCAGTTCAGGATACAGAGAAACAGGACAGCTAGCATCCAGGGGACCAGAACGTGGTCGAGGAGCTGGACCATCAGTTGCAAGAGAACCATTTCCTCCAGGGGTAGAAGCCAGTCGAGTGGCCTCATTCAAGCTATGTAGGGTGTTTACGAGTCGAATAAGTATGCCATTTTTAGCAGATATTCGACAAAAATCATTTCTTGGCGTTGAACATTGAAGCTTGAAAACCTGCCACATGGCATCAATAGCAAGATGTACCATTTCCCTGGTATGTCAAGAAACACATGCAGCCTTAGGAATACAGTAACTAACAATACCATGGCCAATCATCAAAAATCCCTAGGATAATGCAACTAAGTCCACACCTGTATTTTGCATAGTCAGCTTCTAGAAATCCCACCAAAACAGGTATTCCACGACATGCTATAAACATTTGCAGTGTCAATGAACTGGAAATTAGAGAGACATAAACAGAAGTCAAAAGAATATTTGTGCGATAAGAGCTTAACATGTCAAATATTCCAGATTGGAAATGCAACACATTATTATACAATCCAAACCTGGTCTGACAAAGCTGCTGCAAGAAATAAGCTGCTTGCATACGAACTTCACGAGGACGTTCAGGCACTGCAAAGTTCATAACTACAGGGATCTGGCACCATGAGACCCCATTACTAAAGAGTTGCCATAGACATGCAATCATAACCCTATTATGTGAAAAAACCTTTATCTCAAAGTGCTTATAAGGTCAGGGTATTACTTACAAGGCCAACTAGACAAGCATTTTCTTGGAAATCAGTGTTGTCCTTAATAATCTGATTTACAATTTGCAGGGCAGAACATATAACCTGCAGAATATGAAATTTTTAATATCAACAAAGATTTTTTTATATGAATTATTTGCAACGCATCTCAAATAAATCAGAATTGAATTTTGCTTAAATTAGTATAACCTACAAACACGTTATCCCCAAGCTCATATTGAGAACCCCAATATGGAATAGAGAAAGAGAGGAGGGGGTGGTTTTTTTGTTTTGGGAGGGGAAGGTTGGGGAAGAATAATATTGGCTCAACTCTCAACAGATAGAATATGCATACACGATTTTTGGGAAGATCAAGCAGCTCCATTAAGGGAAGTAAGCCATGTTGGCTGATAAAAACTATCTTCTGCTCTGGATGTTCGTGAAACAACACAAGAAGCTTTTGGCAAGCAGAGACAATCACATCTTCAGGTTCCTCTGGTTTTAGCGAACCGACTAATTTGCTGAATTCAATGGCCTATAAAACAGAAGAGAGTATCAGCTTATATTAACACAGATATCTTGTAGATACAGTGAAATCAATGAAAGATGCCCTACACAAAAAATTATCCCTAAAAAAAAAGAGAAGGAAAATGCAAAACAGAGGAACTATATATGATCAATAAGTTACATCTTCTACGAAGTAAACCCACAATAAATGATTAAACAAAGAACCCTCATCGCCAAGAAATAGTAGCTCCTCTAATGCAGTATTCATGGACCTGAAGGAGATATTTTTCATACAATGACCTGTAAGACTTCTTTACTTCCTTATCCCAAGATAATACAGACAAAAAAAAATAAGAGGGACCCATCTAAACATAAGCCCAAGCATTTTTAAACATGGTAGGCAGCTAGGAATATAGACACTATGATGAAGGTAGAACTAAAACTAGTTACACCTGAAAACTAAATCATCATGCGATTTATATCCCAGCATGCCAAAAGGATCAGTACAATATAGTCACCATTATGTCCATACTGAGGAGACAGTTACTTTCAATAACCATATGAACATTAAAATATTCTGAACTTAAAACCTTAAGTGCTTAGCACAAGAACCATCTTCACATACAAAGAAGAAAGGTAGTCCTTGTGATAAAAAATAATGATTAATTCAAAAAAACATATTCATCCAATACACATAAGAGCAAAAGCATCGCAAGCAATTCTTGGCTCATCTTGTCCTGTGGTTGTCATCACATCTAATGTTCCCCAGTTAACGTAATGATGCATATCCGCCAGCAAAAACACGCTGTAATCAAATAAGTTTTAAGAGTTTGGAGAATATGAACTAGCTCAGTGTGGTATCAAATATAATAATATCGCAACTTATGATCTGTTGTCTCCAGCAACCAAATCTAAAGTTCACCTTGCAGAGTTTTTTGAACACCAGTAATATCCATGTAATAAATTAAGTGTCCAAATCACATAAGAAGAACCAATCATTAGACTTTAAGCAGCATAATCATAAAGTCTAGTATGAGAAAGTAATGGAAGTACAATAATCTTATACAAAAGAAAGTAGTCTCCTGGTTAAAGAAATAAATAATACCTGTATGGGGAAAAGGTTTTCTCCAGGAATTCTGTCTTCAAAGCCCTGCACGATCAGAAAGACAATAAAATGGCCATCTTTATTACGTAGAACAGTGCAACATATAGAGGTCCAATATCTGTTAGATGCAGAGAACTTTAACTTGCATATCAAACATTATCAGGGCCTGCAGAAAGCATCAAAACCTACCAACCCATCAATGCCAATTTCATCCTCTCTGAAAACGCCCATCATAAGTGTCAACAAGTCCCCTCCATTTCTCTGCCCAATTTCATTGTCTTTTCTCTTCTGAGCCATTTTGGCCTTAAGCTTAGCGGCCAGATCATTTTTACTAGCATCATAAAACTGTAGATTATTTTGACCTAAATGTGAAGATGGTGCAGAAGTTGAGGCTTCTGCTGCATGGTCCTCTGGAATCCTGTCCATAGGCTCCTGAAATAAATCATCCAAGGAAGAATCCGCCGGTGTATCACTGAACCTACCAAGTTCATTCACTCCAGATAAGACTGATGATTTAGAAGCCTGTTAAGCAAGTGGGTCAGTACAAGTTAATTCACCAAACAGTAAAATTTGCATGAAAGTTTAAATTACAATATCAATATACATGAACACAAAAGAAAAAGAGAGTTTAAATAAGTAAGTTTCATCCTAAGTCATCTGTTGGACCCAGTGGTTCAAAGTGATACATAAATGACCTCATTCCTACTTAATTAGAGATGGTCATTTAGAAGGCATTGAACTACCATTTAACATTGGAAAAAGTTTATATAAGGTTGACACCTTATACTATTGAAATAAGGTGCGCCTCAAAAATCCATCAGAGAAAGTTGTTCCAATGCTGGAAAACACTCAAATACAACATCTCAGCCTAGAGATGTATGGATATAAAAAAGAAAAAGATTTCAAGTCATGAAAATAGCGCATCTTGTAACATACTATCTAGATCGTCCATTTTCAAAAAAATTAATTGTTTCTAGATCTACTTGATTTGCACCATTTATGGAGCTTTAAATTTCATAATTAGGGGTGAGAATAGATTCCCAGGTCATCTTAATGGTTTCTGTCACGAGGACATTTTTTTGGGGTAGTTTTTAGGTGTGCCTAACTTTGATTGTTCAAGGTTGACATCTTATAGAAACCTCACCCTTAAACATTTGATGCTCCAAAGCCAGAAGAAAATGTGACAGAAAAGAAAAAAATAGCATTAAGAAAATCAAACAAAACCAATACCATTAAGAACATTGGTGCTTATATTCAACTCAACAAGGCAAATAACCACTTCAATAGGGAAAAAACTAGGATAACTAGCAACATTTTCACAAAAAAATCTCATAAATGAAGGAAACAGCAAAATCATACCCATGCATAATAGTTAATATCATGCATGTATATATAATAAAGTTGTGGGGATGAAAACAGAAGGAAAGAGATTTCAATAAGAACAGAGAATGTAAATACTATTACAAGTTCCAACCAGCACTCTCAAATTTACATATCAAGAATGAATTTTACAAAATGAAGGTTGGATTTAGATAGGCGAAATGGAACTTTACATCCGAGTTTAATGTGATCGCCACATACCACTGAGATTGAAGGGGAAGTTCTATAAGACGGCTGTAAGACCATCTATGATTTATGGGACAGAATGTTGGGCGGTCAAGAAACAACATATCCATAGGATGAGCATAACTAAGATGAAGATGGTAAGATGGATGAGTAGCAAGACAAGAAATGAATGAATTTGGAATGAATATAAATGATGGTACTTCGGTGTGGCTTCAATGGGCGATACGATGAGGGAAAGTAAACTTAGGTAGGTTGGCTATGTACAACGTAGACCAAATTCAATGCCGGTTAGGAGGTGCGATTTAGTTCAAGTAGAAGGCTCTAAAAGGGTAAGGGGAGGCCAAAAGGACATGGATAGAAGTAGTGAGAAAAGCTACAATGACTTTTGGTCTTACTGAGGGTATGGCCCTTGATAGAGAAGAATGGAGGAACATGATTCATGTAGACAACTCCAAATCATTGGAATAAGGCTTGGATGATGATGATGATGAAGGTGGGAGTTAGATATGGTCGCCCTTCTAGTCGGGAGCAATTTGGAACACATTCTCCCTTCTCCATAAACAGATGATAAACCAGTTATATACAAAAAGTTATCAGAAAATGATTTTTGTTCTTAGTAACTTGAGGCTGATGTTGCCAAAATGCCATAAGAAGCTAGTAAATATAATCCTCTTTTTTGACAAGAAAAACAATAAGCCTCTTTTTATCTTTTTTATCTTGAATCATAGCATGTTATTTAGTGCAATGTCATTTCTAGATTTTTATAGTGTTTTAACATTAGTTTTTGTTAAGGCTATGTTTGCTAATGGTGTTTTGTAGTATGGTCTAATAAGGGAGTTGACCTTAAACTTTCCCTTAGTCCATCCCAAGCCCCAGTAAAGGAGTTGGATTGCGTTAGAATCCTAAACATATGAGAAGAATGGAGGAACAAGATTCATGTAGCCAACCCTAAATAATTGGGATAAGGTTTGGACGACGATGATCATGAATGTTATTTTGTAATAATATATGATATTTACTTTTAGTTATTTGTGAGCCTCTAACAATTCATTTTCACGAGAAAACATATAGTCATGTGACCGCATTTCTCGTATTTTATAGATGATTTTGAATTGCTACAAAAAGATGAACAAATAGAAAGAAAGTCAACACCCACGTCGTTTAACAAAGATCAACTTTTGGACCTCGACAGAACCATAGGTAATTACAGCAATGGAAAAATAAAGCAAAATCTGTATTAGAAAAGGAATGAAAGATGGGGTTCTGCCTCTTGGCTTAGTGGATAAGGTATGAAGGCTGCAGCATTAACATCATGGTTCAGACCCCATCCAACATAGCATAAGTTTGTGAGTGCTATGATTCACTAACAAAGCATTTTCAAATACAGTTCCGTGTTCGTCATTAGGGAGTAATTTGACATTTATGTCATGCTACACAAGCCTGTAACATATTGCTTCTCATAGGCCACACAAGTTATCATTAGCTTTTTCATGGGGAAATCTAGGACACAACAGCTTTGACACATCAAATCAAAAGTTTGAGATAGGTTTGTGATAGCAAACACCCATCTTTCAATAGTCGTTTTACATTAAGTAAAGCTATCGTTTTATAGATCCCTGTAAGGGACTCATGTCTTACAGGGGTTTTTCAAGGAAACAGGGTTCTTTCACTTGCTCTTTTGAGCAAAGCAAAAGTCAAGTTTTCTAAATAGAAATGATGAACCAAATAAGTTTCCAAACATTACAAGAAAACAAGAAAGGAGCAACGCCCATAAAAAGAGAATACCAGTTGAGGAAGATCATTATATAGGATTAACATATAATCCATAGCATAATTCACTCAACTCGACAGATGTGCACAAATTGTAAATTAGCACCGACATGAGCAGCCTTGTTCCCAAGTTGCTCAGAATGTTGGACTTGGGAGAGTCAAAAGTCACAATGGCATGATTGTGTAGTTTTGAATGTTTGTGCTATAAAGATATTTTAATTTATAAATGCATATTAAGGCAAGTCAGCCAAGTCACTGGGCAAATCAACTATGCCGATGAGTAAACCATGTTAAAGTCAAATCAACAAAAAGTCAAAAACATATGTCAAACCAAGCCACATGGCATATCAAGCTCACAATATGCCTCACAAATGACAGAAAGGCAGAGTCAAGCCAACTCCCCTATGGTCATTAAATCATGCAAAGTTGAGGACTATGAATATACTTTAACTAAGCCGAAAAGCAAGCAAGACACAATCTGAATATTGAGAAGCAGATTAGAGGACATGGGCAAAACAAAGGATCCCACGAACAAGAATGAACTTTATATTAGAAATAAAATACCTCAAGACTTTCTCCAATAGCAGAACACTATATAATTCACTTATTAAGAAAAATTGATGCTAAACAAATCAAAGAGTGGTACATCTCAGAAATTATATAAACAAACAAGAAAAGAAATAGTTAAAATTCGATTTGTTCCAATGCAAGGTTTACTACATGAACGAAATGAGAAAAGATCATGAACATCCAACACAACTGGTGGATTTCAGCATTCAACAACTAAAAAGAAAGCATTGGTAAAAAAGATAAATACATTACCTTTTGAAAACGAGGTTCTTGAACCCTCTGTTCAAAGCCAAAAATATTGTTATCGCCATGTATAGCACTTCCATTACCTACAGGTCCAATAGCTCTTCCATTCTCAGGCAACTCATGAAGAGTAGCAACATTTTTTCTTTTCGACTCTGGAGAAACCATATCATTCAGCAACCCTTCATTCAGATTTACGGGGCTTCTTAAGCTTGGCTCTGTGGAATCTGCAGCATATATAAGAGCTTCTTCACCTTTAGATGACATCCTGCCAGAACTGGATTTTGTAGAAGTGTTTTCAAGGAAAGTGGCTGATGAGTCTTGGTCAGGAAGTAGGTCATCTTTTGCATCACCAGCGCTCAACTTAGAATCTGCCTCATGAAGACTGTAAGAACCCTCAGCTTTTTCGTTTTGATGCTGAAATGAACCCCCAAATTGAACAACTTCAATCTGAGACATTCCATTTGGATGACCTTCCTGAATTATGGAAAGACCATATAGGGTGAGGCTTCACAGGGATTAAAAGTTCAACGGGCGCCGAAGGGTTACTACTTCTCATGTTTTCAAAATATACAAATGAAATGAGGCCTAACATCATAACTGCCAAACATTGAATTGCACCTCATGTTGCTTAAATTAAAAGTAAAAAGGGTAAATTAGAGTTCATACAGTGTCTATATCTTCTTTCTTTAATTTCCGTTCTCCTGAATCTTCGTCACCCTTGTCGCCATCTTCAATTGTCCTTACAACTGTCGAAACATCCTGCGGTATGCTCCTAACAATAAACTAGAATCATTAGAAAATGATGTTATTAAGTTTCAAGATTATACATTAGAAGGAAACATGAAAAGTTGTGATCATAAAGTCAATGGTAAGAAAATCCATAAAAAAAAAATATCTACGAGAATTTCATAAAGATGTTTACTTGTATCCAACACTGAAGCTAGCCAAGTGAAGAGAGAGAAGCCATACAAAGTAATGCATATTCCAATGTAGTGCATTAGAGATATCCCAAATAAAACAGTAGAGTAAAGAAAATACATAGAAGGGAAATAAATGTATAAATATAGAATATCAAGCCAAAAGTGGAAATTTAAAGGGAACATTTAGCCATTACAAGCTTCAAGCAACAAATGCATGTTCAAGGAAATTCTTAACCAGCCATTGCATTACTTATTATAAGAAAGTACAGTTTGAAAATTTGCGTACAAAGCTGATTCTAACATCTCGAGTTTCTGTAGAACATAAGGATGTACCCAGAGCTCCAAATTATATAACTCAGGTAAACCAATCATGCCCAAAATGAAAACAATGTTACCTGCACAGTAGTGGGGTTCTCTTTTCTTTCTTTCTTTTTTTGCCTAAGTATAGTGGAGGGGTCATTTGGAGGCTATTTCTCAAAGATAAGTGTCACATACATTATCTTGAAGGACAATTGGTAAATCCCAACTTCATATATTGACAATTCATATGCATCATTCATGTGAGAAGCATCATGGCTAATTAAACCATCTTTGCCACAATAGAAGTATACTCTAGAGACATGACGAGGCATTCTCATCACATATCGGCAATATCCCATAATGTAACTCCATATTATATAACTCAAGTAAACCAATCATGCCCAAAATGAAAACAATGTTACCTGCACAGTCGTAGGGTTCTCTATTCTTTATTTCTTTTTTGGCTACAGTGGAGGATTCATTTGGAAGCTATTTCTCAAAGATAAAGTGTCACATATATTATCTTGAAGGATAATAGGTAAATCCCAACTTCATATACTGACGATCCATATGCATCATTCATGTGAGAAGCATCAAGACTAATTAAACCATCTTGCTACTCTAGAGACATGAGGATGAGTTCTCTTCACATATTGGCAATACCCCATGATTATGATGAGGGGTAGTAATACTGATTCTGCAATCATTCTGTAGATTGTCCCTACCAAGGCTTACAAATTTAGTGATCCAAGTCAGAATTGGCCGATCCAAATCGGGAATCGATCAACCAATCCAGATCCCGAAAAATATCGGGAACCGGCCGGTTCCCTATAGGAGCCAGTCAGTTCCCACCAGTTCTTTGATAGAACCGGACGGTTCTGTCAGGAAAACCAACAACTCAATCCTAAACCGGACAATTGCACGGTATATTTATTGAAAATTTATATATCAAAGTTTCTAATTGGGAGCAGCATCCCAGTCCACCATGCAAAGATAAAACCAACATTTCTTATCATGATCCCACTTCCTTGGGGAGCCATGTCGTAAACTCATATCTTTTAGACTTTTACATCTGATGCCTCAATACCCTCAACACCATTTTTATAGCCTCACCCCACCTCGTTATTCGTGAACTCGTTCCCCTCATTTAGACTTCGAGTTCCTAAAAAAACATTTATCTCCAACGATTTCTACTATGTTCATGAAATGTTATGGAAATTTCAAAAAGGGTAAGGTCAAGTCATCCAAAAGTTTCTATTGATAGAAGAAATACAAATGCAGAAGTTAGCACGAATCATTGGGAAAAAAAGATAGGCATAACATCCAAACAAAATATTCCAAGGCATAAAACCGATGACTAGTATAATATTATTTAGAATTACTTCTTTTACTTATAGTTCCAAAAACAAAGGCGCTTTTACTTGTTGTAACTCATAGTATATAGGTGAGGTTTTTTATAAGTGCCCTTCTTATACTGTAGAAATCAGGTGCATCTCTACATTTTGCCTATAGATGTAGTTACGGTATCGAAAACTTTATGATGGCCTGAAAATTTATTTTCAATCCTAGTTGTGAAATTTAAATTCTAAAATGGTACAGATCGAGCAGATTTACAAACTCTTGAAGATCTTAAAAAACTATCTCTCTCTCTCTCT